GGTCCACCGCGCCGGCCGGGCGCTCCGGAGGAAGGCGCTCCGGGGCCCCCCGACAGCCGCGTCGAGCCTCGCTCGGGTGCCGGAGGCGGAGAGCGCGGGAAAGGAAGCTGTCGGTCCTCCAGCCGCGGCCACCATCACATCCTGATCTGCCGGGTGCCTGAGCGCCGGCGAACCCGCCTCCCCAGCCCGCGCGTCCCCGGGAGGTGCGAAAGGTCCGCTCCCGCTGCCCACTCCCGGCGCGCCGGCCCCGGTGGAGCTCGCTCGCTCGCTCGCCCGCCCCCACCCCCTCCCACCCCCCGGAAAACGCTCAGCCTTCGTCCTGCATCCTCGGATACCTGTCCCGAAAGCGATCGCCCGCGCGGAGCATCATCCTCCTCCCGTCCGCGCCTTTGCCGGAGGATGCCCGTGGCAGCAGCGAGTGAGAGGTTTGAGACGCTGAACGCAACAAGTGGACTTCAACCTGTCATCCAAACTTCAGCGGAGTTATCCGAGTGGACGGTAGATGCTTCTCCCAAGCCACAAAACAAACGGCAGAGCTCAAAAAGGCGCGACTGAAAAAGATTTCACCAAAGCAGCAAACGTGTCCCCCGTGGCAGCTGGTGTGAAAATACTGGGTGCTGTCAAGACGCCAAGGAATCTGAGCTCAAGTTCTTGCTTCCAGGTAAAAGGGCAGCTGCAGAGATGGATGTCAGCCACCACCACCACCACCACCCCCCAAAATGGAAATAGGCGAAGAAAACTATACAGATGACACAAGGCATGATTAATAATGCCAGATGACATTACAGACAATGGCTGTGACACTTCAGAGGAAGAAGATGTGGCTTTCTCCGGAACCCGAAGAAGAAAGCTCTAAAGAGGAGGGAAAAAAAATCAAGTTGACTCAAGTACCAGCTATTGTTGACATCGCCCTATTTTTCCTGAGTTTCTTGATTAATCTTCAGGCATTACCGATCTCACAAAATTTCCCCAAACTGTAACATCTTTACCATTTTCCAATAATTGATCAATATCCTACTTATGAAAGGGTAGTTGCTTTGCTACAGTCCAACAGTAAAAACACTTCTTTATAGGAAGAATGCAATTTTTTGTCAGTAAGGAAACAGACTCAGACACATACATGGCTTGCCAGGTTTCAACACTACTTGGGTTCAAATAAAAATCTGCCCTTATTTGAAAACTCTTGTTTGCTCAACAGCACTACCCTCCTATCCAAGCTCCAGTTGACAATTCAACATTCTAAAATTGTTGGTGAAAAGTTAATTGCTGAGACTTGCAACTATGGCTATTATAGTGTGTAACCCAGAGCCTAACGATGCAAGAGCCCCAAGGAAAAAAAGAACAGCATCTGCTCTATTAAACGCTAATTCTCCAGTTCCATTTCTCACATCTGATTCTTATTGTTGACTGATATTCCATGAAGAAATTTAGTGATACTCCATTCCATTCCAGTTGGCTTACCCTGCTCTCCAGCTTCCTATCTTTCACAAAGAGAACTTTAGGACTAATTAAAGTTTTGGTTTTTTTTTAATTCAACCAAAGAGCAGTTTTTGTTATAGTTGTAAGCTTCCTATCTTTCACCAAAGAGAACATTAGGACTAATTAAAGTTTTTTTAATTCAACTAAAGAGTAGTTTTTGCTATAGTTGTTATTTTTCTGTTATTCCCTTACTTTGATCAGATAGCATTTTTAAAAATCTTAAGTCTCCATTTTTCTGGTTGTCCTATAGGCAGTGATTATAAAACTTGGAATAAAATAGTTTGAAGCAAATAGCACAATGCATTTTTCCATTGGAGCATATTCTGTTACACACACATGCACGCACACACATTTCTTAGCTTCCAATTCAGTGCCCAAACTAGAATGCTTCTACCATTGGAATATCTGTGCATAAATATTATTTTTATACAATTTATTTCCGTCTTGTTGAAAACATTATTAGTGCTAAAAACACAAAATGCTTTTTCAAAAGTATATCATCTCATAACATGTCTCTGTTAATCAAAACCTGTTTCAAATGGTTATGCAGCCTAGTTGCCTATCTTAATTTTGACATACGCTACACTAACTACAGTCATTCTAAAATCCATCCCTTCAATATGCTTTAGATCAATTCCAAATGGCATGTGTTTATGAAACACCCTAGAATTAGAACAAGTTTTTAAAAACCGAATGAATAAAGCACACTGTCTAAAGAGTCTAAATTAAAACAAATATGAATACTCCAGTTTCCATGTCCCAGTATTAAACTGTTTCCAAATAACAAACAACATTATTTTTAAAGGAACTTTAAAACTAATAAACACAGTTGCTATCCAACTATTTCTGTTACATTCTTTCTAATTAGCTCTATATCAGCAAATCCAATGGAATATTGATTGGGTTAGTATGTGAACTACATCTCTACAAACACACCCTTTATGTTCCTAGGAATGAGCCTGGTACTAATGAAGCTCTGTAGTTTTACATATATAATCTGAATATGAGGTCTACATTCATTACAATCTACTGGAATCAATGCTGTGGTTTCATACCCTTTATGGAGGCAGCTCTGAATCTCTGATGTAGGGATGAAGGCTTTACTAAGAGGTGACATGCCAAACATCTTCCACTTCTTCCATTCATCACAGCGAGAATACCAGGTGGTAAATAAAAATTTGTAGCTGTGGCTCAGTCTCTTAGCTGAATCTCTCCTTTCAAACCTGGTTGGAATCACAGGGTGCCACCTTGTGTATAAGCTGACGCTTTACTTCCCATTTCTACAAAGAATTAGGATAGACTCAAAAAATACCAGCTTTCAGCTCTGTAACTTATTAACCAAAGGGAAAAATGAAATAGGTATAATTGAAGTAAACAGACATGAAAGCACACAGCTCCAAAGGATCCACACACTAGATTTTGAATCACACCAACAGTCTGTCTCATTTGTTTCCTCACCCAATGCCCCACACATGGAATAGATTGACCACACACTCAGGCTTTTGAAGGGTACCAGAAAATGAGTAAAGCTCTTGTTTCACCTAATAAGTCTGGTTGGACAATCATCTATATCCAAACAACAAGAAAAGTGTCTACATTTAATTTCAGGACTTTGTATTTCTGAGACTAACCTCTATCTACTTAATAAAGAGCATAATAATGATGGTTGAAAAAGTGAAATTGAAAGAGGGAACTACAATTGTTGGAGCAGGGCCACAGGAGGAAAGGGAAGAGAAAGAGAGGTGGGGAGGGAAGGAGGAAAAGAGAGAGAGGGAAAGGGAAGGGGAGGGGAGGGATAGTTTTTTTTTAATGCAGCTACCTTGCCCTTGAGAAATTCCATGTTTGGAGAAAAGCAGCTCCAAATTCAGCACAATTGCCATTCAGTTGAAGTCATGGTTATGTTCATGATATTAACTGGACCCTTCATGTTATTTTCAGTAGGGCATTGCAGTGAAGATCTTGTACTTTGTTGGTTCAGTATCTTGTATGTTTATGTTTATCTCAGTTGCCTTTCCTGACTTCCTCCACTGGCTCATCCCTTTCCCCTTGAGCAGGTACCTGGGAAAATCTCTCTCTCTCTCTCTCTCTCTCTCTCTCTCTCTCTTTCTCTCTCACATCCCCCCACAGGCCTGAAATGTGGCTCTTCTAAGTGCCCAATTATGGACAGACCAATGTCTTAAATGACCATGTCCCAGAGGATAGAGTTAACATTCTTTTGTGCAGAGGAGCTTAATTAGGACCAATGCCTCCTCTTCTTGCAGGAGTGAGCTAAGGGTATGCAGGGCCAAGAGGTAATTTGACCTTTGCATCAACAAGGTGTGCATTGCTGTTTCAGGTTATGCAGCCCTAGGGTGAAAAGGCGTGTTCTTATGTACTCTATCCATGTGAAAGTTGTCCTCTAGTTTGGTGACAATAGCTATTATTTGCCAACATTGTTTTCTGTCTATAATCCCATGTACAATGCTTACACTGTGTCTTTACTGAAAAAGAGAGTAGTCCCATTTCTAAGACCACGTGCCATAGGCAGATTTGGTAGCTCAAGAGGGCACACCAAGGATAGTCTTAAAGTCAACTATATTTTAATGGAGGATATCATCCCCTCTTACTCAGAGCATACAGAGGACTTTATGTGCCATATCTCTGTTATCCAAATCTCCCCAGTCCAATAGTCCTGGCAACACTTAATAGTTCCCTTATGACTAGTAAGTAGATAGCCCTGAGCCTGCCAAAGAACAGAGATAACATTTTAGGACAACTTGAGAAGATTTTTAAGAACATAGAAGTTCTATAAGTGGATATTGGTTTGATGACAAGTTTTAGCTACCATATTCATGCCCACCACCTGCGGAGGTAGCTACAGCTTGGTTTGGTCTAGACTGCTGCACAAAGGTCCTATTAACCAGTATGGCCCTCTCTCTTCCTACTTCTCTTCCATGAAGTTGAAATGGCATATGTACTATGCTTCAGCCAATGGATTTAACA